AACAATGCTAAACAACCCCCCCCCAAACAAAAGATAGTCTCTTTTAACCTTCACTAACAACATATTGTTTTCTTCTGGGTATAACATCATATTTGAATTCCATACAGTTGATGTAATAAGCAAAAAATCAATAAAAAAACTCAGAATTAATTCTGTTTGATAATATCCCGAGAAGGTTAGTCACAAAATCATTTTTTACCCTTATTGTCTCTATCATCATCGGTGGTTTGATCGTGGCGTGCTTCGCAGCCACGTCAATCGATCTCGAGTCGATTACCGACTGACGCACTCACAAACCTCAGCTAGTTTTCCTAACCGATATTAAGCCTGAGGTAAGAGGGAAGGTTTGGCTTAGGGTTAGCAACACCATCCCTTAAAATCAAAGCCTAAAGTTCTCATGTTCTTTTGAATTCACTTGCCTGGAACAGAATTTTAATGTGCACCAGGCTAAGAGTCACAATTGTCGTATGGGGGTGGTGAAATATGTACAACGGGACTCGAACCCGTGACCATTTGGCTGAGGATTGAGCTTTTAAGTCAATGAGCAACATTTCCATAAGCCCCATGTTCCAATCAGAACACAAGGAATGAAGGAAAGTTACTGAGTATAATGAACATAAGAAGAAATATCATAGAATAAAGTGTTTTTTTCGTTTGTAAATGACACAGTTCTTCACCGTTCTTTTTTAAAATCCCCCAGAAATATTCAGATCAAAACATGTCATCTTTATGAAGCTATAAATAATATCGCAAAAAGCAAGTGAGACTGTAAAATGATATGTACCACTACTCCTCAGATCTTGCAAAAAAAAAACTTCTTAGTAATTTGAACTTTAAATCACTAGACATTCCATTTTCAAAATGGTCTTCCAGCTATGAACAAACTAACTGCTCGATAACATTTTCATAATAGGAATCAGGCAGCTTAAGTTTTGTAATAGACAGCAGCAGATTACAGAGAATTCCTCGACATCATACAAGGCAGTGTGCATTGGTGACTCAGTAGTAGAGTGTGAGAGGTCCAGGTTCTATCCTCGGCTGACGCAATCCTAAACTCCATCTAGTTTACTAGCCGACAGTAAGTGTGGGAAAAGAAAAAGGGTTAGACATGAAGTTAGTATCCTCATCCCATAGAAAACAACACTATCATTGCTACTGAGACTACAAAGCTTGAACTCCTCTAGTCCTTCTTGAATTCAATTGCCCGGAACAGATTTTTGTATGTACAGTAGGGGCTAAGAGCTACAATTGTGGTATAAATTAATTTAAAAGATTACTCCTTATTCCCAGTGGAACATAAAGCTTCAAGGCAGAGCTTTGAAGTTTCGGTAGCAGTGGTGTTTATTATTACGGGGTGGGGTTGCTAGCCTCATGCCCAACCTTCCCTCTTTACAGGTCTTATTACTGACTAATTGAGGTAAAGGAATGCGTCGGCCGGAGATTGAACCCCGAAACCACATGAGGCGTGGTTGGCTACTGTGCCACCGACGCACACAATTATCGGTTAGGGTCTTGATGATACTACGCTGAAATAGGTGAAGTTGAACGCCAATCTTTGACATGTGTTGGTTACACACCGAGTTTATACTACCAATGAACCACATATTCAACAGCCCTGTGTTCCCATCGGAATATATGAAATGAAAAAATGTCACTGAGTATAGTGAATATCAGATAGAAAGTATCTCAGAATCAAACTCTCTACTTAAAAGTGTTACACAGTTCTCCATGGTAGCCTTTGGAAAACCAAACTGGGACGAAATATCTGTCTAGTGCTCCCGGGTTTTCAATGATCTCTCTAAATGATGATGGTTCGTGAGAGAATCTGCATTGATATTTAAGGATAGTCGAAGTATAGTATGGCTGACTAAAATAAATTTTAGATTAGTCATGGACTGTTGGTGTAGTTGTGTTTTCCCAGCTGAATGTTTTAATTGCGGAAGTTTTATTGTCTTCCTAGACAATATTCTCAGTGCTGACTGGTTTCAACGTAGAACTTTGAACAGATGTACAGCAGTTTGAGTTGCCATACTCCTTCCATGTACCACACAAAGCAAGAGAAGAGAATTAAGAGAGATTCAATGGAGAGACAGAAATATGAGGTAAAAGGAATAGTAATATGGAAGAACAATAGAATTTTATTGGATGTGACAAGTCAAAAAGAGAAACCTTTATGACAACAATTTTGAGGCATATCACCAATTGTCTCCAGCCTACATTGGTTCTTGCCATCCCGAGGACCCAATTGAGGAAGTCTACATCTCCATACGTGACTGGCTTAAACTAACTGTTATTGATTTCATTGACTGATGAAGCCATGTTTTGGTTTTGATCACCACTGGCTTTTTTCCAGCCTGATCCATCCTATGTCAGCTAACATTGTCCATAGATGAAGGCGATGGCTAGGCAGGCATGCGTAACACATGTCCTAACCATCTCAATTGGTATAACTTCACAATTTCGTCGATTGATTTCCCCTCCAACTCACCTAGCACTCGACCGATACCTCATCTCAACACTGCTCACCTTAGTATACCACTTAACACGGGAGACAGAACTCAGACACCTATGATCAAAGACAGCTAGCTAACCTTTTCGCATCTTCCATTTTCAGTGGCCGTGTCTCACTCACAGTCATAAAAGAAGACATCGTAATATGATATAGAAACAGTTAGAGAAACTGTAAAACGGTATGCACTACTCAATTACATAGTGTGAGGAACATCTTAATATTGAAAAAAGCGTTGGTTGCAGTGAAGGGAAAATTTTCTTTTCGGCGAAATCAATATCATCTAGTTGTACATTAGTCTGTTCATAGTAAATGGGTGAGAAAATTCCAAAAGTATTTCCGATCAAGGGTCAGATCAATAAAATTACAAGCAGGGATTAAGGTGCAATAATAAACAGGAAGATCGGGTAAAACAAAGACATAGTGGAGTAGTAATGACAAAATAGTGTAATTATGATCCTACTATGTGTTTTTTCCTACCCGATCTTCCTGTTTATATTATTACATTTGAGTGAATTCCAAATTTCCTTTTAAACATTTAGAGAAAAAAACCCACAACAAATTCAGCGAAGAAATGTGCATTCTTTTACTCCAATTAGCAGTTCCTCATCGTCGCCTGGCTCCACACTAATACATATAGTTTCTTACACCAAAATGTGTTACCAATCAAGTGGTTATTTTAGTTAATCAGTTTTAGGTATAACGAGGGGGTGGGAAGGGAAATTAAGAGGTTAAAAGTCATCAAAACATCAGTTAACTAATAGATGTTAGTAACAAGGGATATCTAAGTTTTGAAGGAGGGATGAGAATTAATTACGGAATTCAAGTCCAGTCAGTTCTTAGGGGCTAGCAACAAGTTATTACATAATCAATAAATTCGTAAAATAGCATTGGAGATTAAGAAGAATAGGATGGCTCAGAAGAGTTAGCTAGAATTGTAAAAATTAATAAAATCAAAAAGGGAAGGGAAAAAATCGATTTTAAAACTTGATACATATTATATAGTTGGTCATGGCAAAGAAAGGGGATGTACAAATTTCTTTTGAATACACACACAGATTTGGCTTTTTCAGATGAATTCCGATTGCCTCTGCTGTATGTGTAAAAGTCGAACTCGTAGACTATGTGAGAGGTTGGGTGGAATACGATAAATAACTTTAAAAGCTTTGTTAGAGTCAACTTGATGTCTAGTATCGATGAGTTGAGGGTAGTATTGATCGAATCTTTGCAAACCAAGATGGCAGGTGTTCAGAAATTCGATGATCAACGACTATTTTAATCCCTGCTAGCAATTGTATTAATTTGACCCTGGATACCTCTGGAAATTTCTCACTCACTTAATATAAATACACGAATGTACAACCTAGCTGATGTTGACATCGTCGAAAAGGAAATTTTCTCCTCTGCAACTGTCTGTTTACTATTCTTTATCACCTGTTGCGTATATTCCGTGATTTGAATAATAGCAAACATTTTAATAATTTGGATTTTATTCAACTGGAAACTTTATTTTCAAAAAAGAACTTCAAACTACGAACAAGCGAACTTCTTGATAAGAGCTTCATACACACTGGAATCAGGTAGCTCAAGTTTTAAATTGATAACAGCATCATAAGGTAAATTCATGCGTACCATACAGGATATTCTGCCTCCGTAGTTTGTTTGTGGTGAGTGCTACTGATAAGATTTATTAGTAGTATATAAAGAGACGTTCATCAGCATAAAATGCATCAAATATAACAGGGAGATAGATTTGAAGTCAGAGAAAGTAAATGATGATACAGCGTCGCGGAGATACATAGAAGACGTGAAAGGAACACAAAGAAATTTTCAAGTATTGGTTTTTTTTGTAGGGATCTGGTTTGATTGGTTGGAGGATTTCATCATGAGGTGACATCACTTAGAGAAACATTGGAAAACCTGGGAACACTGCACAGCTGTTTCGTCCTAGTCTGGGGATCTTCAGCAGTACGCACCCACCGGGGTTTGAACCCAGGACCTTGTAACCAGAAGGTCCTTCTGGTTATAAAGAGATGGCAGAAGTAGCTGGCACAACACGGAAGGTGTAAATAATTGCGCTTATAGAGATACAAATTGTCAATAAACATTCCTTTACCAAGTCCTTCATCTTCACTGTTTCACAATGATCGAATACTCACCAACTATGCAGGCGAAAAGTTCAGGTTCGATTTCCGGCTGACACAATCCTAGACCCCGACCTCTAGTTAACTAACCGACAGTAGGCGCGATGAAAGAGGGAAGATTAGACGTAAGGTTAGCAGTTCCATCGCATAAGAAGAAGACCGCCGCTATTGAAGTTTCAAGGGGCAAAGTTTGTGTTCCACTCGGAATGTAAAACAAGAAGTGACAAGAGTGGAAAGGCGAACGAAGTTAACAGTTGCCTTCCTGCCCTTAATTAGCCTTCAAGTTAAGTTTAAATTTTAAACCTTTTCAAAAAAATAGAAGACAAAAATACAAAAATTATACTCACTTGAGCTTGTAGCGCAGCAAATAAACAGGCCTCTTCATCTGTGACTTCTAATATCTCTGAGATAATTGACCATTTAGCTTGTTCATACAGCTGATTAATACGAATTGCATCATATTTAATATTTAAATCATAAAACGTTCCATATTTGTAGCGTAATAAAAGTGTTGGAGGTTTAGCCTCCTCTTTACTAACATTATTGCTGGCGTTGTTCGTATTAGCATTGACGACGTTACCAGCATTACTAGTTGGTTTGTTCTGATGATCACCATTTTGTAGGTGAGTTGGTGAAGCTGGTCGACTAATTGGAGGAGAGTTTAAATTATCCAACTTCGACAAATAACCACGTGCATCAATCCCTTGTTCCAAGAGAGATTTAGATGAGTCTAACCAGGCTGCATTCAGTCGAACTCGTTGTGTGTAATTACTTGGTCGAACAATCAATCCTTTTTGTATCGCATCTTCTACACTCATCATTGGACTGAATGCCAACGAGGAATCATCTAGAATACGTAAATCGAAAGCAATTGGAGAGTAGGTGATTTTAGAGAAATTCCCAGAATCTGGACGTGAATATCGATGATAATTTGGATAGAAATGTGTACGTTTATCACGGATTCTTGGGGGGCCGAAAAGATGCGTGGATTGTCTTGATGAAGAAGAACTCTTTCTTGATGCACCTTCAGAATTAGCTCTATCCTGTCTATCGGCATCATTTGTATTATTAACTCCATTCATTTGGAACAGCGATTCTCGACCCAATGTTTTATACTGTGAATGTGTCGTGTTTATGGTAGCACTACGTTGAAATGTAGCATGCCTACCTATCGATGATATCGTATGATAACGTCGATCAATAAAACCTGGAGCAAAACGTGAATGTTTCAAGTCATTCTGTTGAATAGGATGAGCAAGTGACAATTCTTCAGGATGTCGTATATTTAAATAACGACACAGAGATAAAGTGACACGAAAAACTGGTTCAGCATAATTAACATCAACAAATTCACGAATTTGTAAATCTGGTAACTGGACATGTAAACTTCCATAGATTGATAGAAAGCGTAGTTTAGCGTCTGCTTGCAAACCATATTGATTTAAGCTGGATTGCGTTCTTAACAACCATTTTGATCGTGCTGGCCACCATAAACCATAATCACCCCAACCAGTTCTTACAGAACTTGAACGTAGGCTTATTTCATTTGGACCCAGTGGTTTAGGCAGTGGGCATGTCAGGCCTTCAGTTAACTGGACTAATAACTCGCCAATCGACCATTCACCGTGTACACGAATTTGACGATCAATATTCAAATCATCTATGTGAACTGATAACAACCATGATCCATCGACGTATTCACCATCAGCAAGCATACTGTATTATTAGTCCTTATTTTTCTGGTTTATACTGATTAACTTTTAGTTAAAATAGAATTTTCAATCGTAGAACCAAAAGTAGTTTTAATAAATCCATGGTAATTCCACCATATATACATATAAATAAATGTAAATTCCACTTTGTTGATATTTGAGATATTCTATTGAGAAAAATTTTTAAAAAAAATCCGTTTTGCCAATACACAAAATTAATCTGGATGAATTTTAGCCAATTTTCACTGACGACTGGTAAAAAAGTCGCCTATTCAATGAAAACCGCTTATATACTTCCTTATTGACCAATCATAATTAGGGATAAATTTAGCCTTGTAATTATATTAATTAACCAATCAGATGTGAGATGGATGTTGTATTTTATTTCTTGATAATTGATCTATTATTGATTATTATTATTATTATACTACTGGAATTGTATGTGGTAGTTAGCTGGCTGGCTGGTTGGTTGGTTGGTCGGTAGGTATGCGTAGTTGGATTGGAAACAGGCTGGCTGGATGGATGGATGGGACAGTCGATGTGCATTTATTATTTTTTTCACGTGTTCATGAGAATATATATATATGTATAGTCACATTTCACGTTGTTGTTTCTACATAGGTTGTTCACTAGTATGCGATTGTGAGATAAATTTTTATTAACTGGTATATTAGTAAGAAAAATCTCAGCCTAACGAAGGAGTGACGACAAACTTCAGTCAATCATTATATATATATATATATATATATATATATATATATATATAATGAGACAATAGAGACAGCTTAACAATAATTATGTTTGTCGGTGTGATGGTGGGTAGATATGGGGATGAAAACGACATTAAATCACTTATTCTATAGTATATCCTCGTGATTCACGCGCAACTACTACTTGAGATTGTTGTAATACATCTATTATACACACGGAATAAGTGTGCATACATAAATAGCATCATTGAAAATTACTGAAGTATCTCACTTCAATGAAGGTCATTCATAAGAAATCTAATGTGATTGAATGTTAACTTAAATAAATAAGTGAAGGAATGTTTGTATATATTTGATAACTACTGCAAAAGAAACGAGACTATCGATTGGTTAACGGTATATTGGAATGCTGAAGTTTTATTTTATGTATCTCTCTGCTTACGTATACGATTATTTAATTATTATTCCTTTGGGATACGAGTGGAGGAACATTTCACCCTACTGTATGGCGTCCTCTTCAGCTGGCTTCACGATTGCCCATAACCTTTATCTTCGTCGTCAGAGGACGCTTTCCACACGGATACGAGAACATATTCCAGCTGCATGGTTTTACAAGGGAGAAAGGAAATGTGTGCGAAGCTCTATTTTGGAACACCTGATCGACTTCTGTCACTCTGTCAACCCTGACCATGATTTTAAGATCATATACAGAATACATGCTAACTTCCCGCGTTTTCTTCGTTACAGACTTCTAAAGACAGCTGAGGCCTTGGCAATTCATGACTTTAAGCCAGACCTTTGTGTACAAAAGAAGTATGTACAATCCCTACTTCTGCCTTGGCCGTAGAGGGATAGACATTTATTTATTTTGTTTATTTAGTTATTCTATGTACTTTTCCCTTATTGCTACGATTATTATTATTATCATTATTATTATAATTATTACTATTCTCACTCTGAATCTTTTCCACTTGACCCACTTGACATTTTAAACCCAAAATTATTAATTTTTATATTTTATTTTTACAATATTGAATTCTATCTTATCAAATTTCACACCATGTTATGTAACATTTTATATTCGTCTACTAATCCTATAATTATGTACCCCTTTCCAAAATCTATACACCTTATGTATTATTCTATATATGACATTGATTGTTTTGCCACTTGACATTTAACTATGATTATAATCACAAATATTTTAATTGCATTTCACAATACTTTTATTATTATTTCATGTATTCACACCTTTGACCTAATTCCCTCACCGGATATAATTTATTTAAAAACCATATATATACGATTGTACGGCTTGATAATAAATTCATTGAAAGGAGTCTCTTCGCTGAATATTGTGTTCTTAAGTCTTCATATGATCTCCTCCATGTTACCCTCCGACAAACGCCCAATTTGTCGTTTCCCATTCGGGTTTCGCTCGATGACCTGCTTGACTTGTGATTTCAATCGACGGTCTCCTCATTTTCTTCGGGATATTTGTTGAGCAATAGATTCTTCGTTGGTTCGTTCGCTCCAACAGTTGATTGTTGCCATCGGAGCTTCAGTATGCAGTAAGGCGGGCAGCTGTGGATAAAAGTCTGCAACCACCAGTTGGAAATGCTTTTCCTGACTCCAGGGCCAAGCTTCTGACCTGTAGAAAAAACAACTAACTGACTTAACACTTGGTGTTGAAAATGCGAATTTTGTTCGCTTTGCTGAGTGCAGATGATTTCTAGACTGATTTCAGAGTTATAAAGATCTGCGTTGCCTTTCCGATTGTGGTTTTGACATTCTCATCCGTGGAGCCGTCTGTAGTTGAAACAATGGTGCCTAGGTAAGTGAAAAAAGTGACCTCTTTCAAAGTCATGTCGTTGATAGTTATTGGTGCTTGTTGCTGCTCCTAGTTGTTGTCTGCGAACTTTACACTCTTCTAGACTCTTCTGATCGGTCTAACGTATTCCTGTTTTCTCTCTCCTCACAGTCTGACGCATAATCCAGTCTACCACACACAATAAAGGGTATCATTGGTGATAATAAACAGGCAGCCTTAGCTTACTCCAGTCTTCACTTCAAAAGGCTTCGCTAAGTTTTCCGTTGTGGATTACTTGACATGTGGCATTGTTGTGTATGTAGACATCAATCATAATCAAGGTTGGAAAGACAGTCTAGGTCATTTTAGACTATTAAGAACACAATATACAATCAAACAAAAAAAGACTCTTGTGACTGAAACTAACCGACATACTGTTAGACTATTCAAATAGATTTGAATAAATGTGTCCAAATACTAGTGCAGTCATAATCCTATGACTTTTCAAGGACTTAGAACATGTCGTTTACAGTCAGTCAGTCAATCAATCTTTTCTCAAAAAATTTACTATTAAACTCTAAAATTGTATTTATAAGTGTATGATTTTGTCATGAGACTATACCTCTTGAGGAAATGCGATTATTATGTTTATACTTGTCTTATTCTTTTGCGTTCCGAATGGAACATAGGCCTTCAAGCTTCAGCTTTGAAGTTTCAGAAGGAGTGGTTTCTAATATTACTGGGTGGGGCTACTGGCCACAACTCCGACCTTCCAAATTTAGAACAACCGGGAATTGAACTTTGGACCATGTGCATGGTTGGCGAGAATGCCCGCCCCCCCCGCTTAACTACCGTCATACCATGTTTATGATTGTAATCATAGTTAAATATCAATCGGTTAAACGAAAATATTGTCTCATATATATATAAATCAAAACAAGTGATTCAGCGAAGAGACTCTTTTCAATGAATTTATCATCAAGCTGTACAATCGTGTATAAATATGGTTTTTAAGAAATTATATCCGGTGAGGGAATTGAATCACTGGTGTGAATGCATTAAATAATAATAGTAGTAGTATGAAATGCAATTAAAACTAAAATGTTTGTGATTATAATCGTAGTTAAATGTCAAGTGGCAAAGCAAATTAATGCCATATATATAAAATAATTCATAGGATGGATAGAACTTGAAAAAGGGTGTGCAATTATAAGATTAGTAGACAAATCGAATAAAATAAAGACGTTACGTAATATTGTGTGAAATTTAATAGCATAGAATTTAATGTTGTAAAAAGGAATTGATTTAGAGTGACAAGGGGAACAAGTGCAATAATACTGGGGACAGTTCAAAGTGAGAGTAGTAATAGTAACAATTGACATAGTAAAGAAGAGACTACAAATTGAATAGATAAAATGAAAATGAAAAATTGGTAGAGTTAAAATTGATTGGGGATTACCATACTTTAGCATAGAGGGATTAAGATCATGAAAGTTGGAGGGGTTGAACGAACTTTTTCTGTACACAGAGATCTGGCTTTTCTGTTTCGATAACCAAAGATGGCTTCAGCAATACAGATGAGTCGGGTACGTAGGGATTTGGGTAAATTACTCTTTGCCTTGTAGATGACTTTGAAGGCGGAGGCTATAGAGATAGGGTGATCATTATCGACTAGATGTTCAATGATCGCGCTTCTTATTGCTCCACTTCCACCTTTTCTTAAACATGCAGGGTAGTGTTCTTGCACCCTCTTGGACAAAAATCGTGTCGAACGACCGATATACCTAGCTCCACACGAGCAGGTGAATTGATAAACACACACAGAGTTGGTCAACAGTGGTATCTTGTCCTTCAGATTATTGAACAGTAATGTTCGACTAGTAAAGGTTATTCTCAGAGATGCAGCAGGGAATGTTCTTTTCAGGGACTGTGATACTCTTCGTTTCATGATATCGGAAGCTAAGTCCCCTTTGGATTCCAAGCTCATGTGAAGTATTTTCTTGGGTACGGACGATAAGTCACGTATTATAGGATTTGAATGTATATTCTTACCTATAAAATGTGGAGGACTTTCCTCAAAAGGTATAACTCATCTTCCACAGTATCAGAGCTACATATTCGCCGAATACGAGTGGCAAGCGACCGGACCAGGTTTGTTTTCGACCAATGGGTACCCAGCTGTAGAAATTTGTCAGTTGACCATTCCATGACAGCTTTCGATAAATCGATCTCTCCAGAGTTCCATCGGTCCTCCTTGATAAGTTCACATCGAGGAAATGAATACTAGACTCGTTTTCCGTTTCGAGTGTGAATTTTATCGCAGGATGGCAGCCATTAAATACATTTAATATATTATTCAAGTTACAATCACTATTACAAATAATAAAGGTGTCGTCTACATACCTTTTATACATTTGAAAGCTTTTGATGTGGTTGTGTTCTCTGAGCTGGATAGTTAATTTGCGAAGCTTTCATCGCCCTACTAGGCGACATCTTCAGCGCATACTTCAATTTGAAGTGAGATGTCGCCTATTAGGGCGATGAAAGCTTCGCAAATTAACTATCCAGCTAGAGAACACAACCACATCAAAATCATCCACCTGAGCTATAAATCTTCTCTAACATTTGAAAGCTTTGGATTGTAGGCTTCAACTGACCATATATATATATACATAAGATAATTCGTAGAATGCATCGATAGTAGTTTTTTTTTATTTCCTTCACGTTCCCCAGTGCAACATAGGGCTTCA